AGACTCGCTTGAGCCCAGGAGTTGGAGGTTACTGTGAGCTGAAATGCCACGGCACCTTACCCAGGGTGACAGCTTGAGGCTCTGTCTCAAAACAAAAGAGGGGGGGACGGTGCCTGTGGCTCAAAGGAGTAAGGCACCAGCCCCGTATGCCGGAGGGGGCGGGTTCAAACCCAGCCCTGGACAAAAACTGCAAAAAAAGAAAAAATAAAATAAATACAGTTTAAAAAGAAAGAAAGAAGCATAGCCAGGTGTTGTGGTGGGCGCCTGTTGTCCCAGCTACTTGGGAGGCTGAGGCAGGAGACTCGCTTGAGCCCAGGAGTTGGAGGTTGTTGTGAACTGTGTGACGCCACAGCACTCTACCGAGGGTGATAAAGTGAGACTGTCTCTACAGAAAACAAAAATAAGAAGAAGAAAGAAGCAGCAGGGATTGTAGGACATTCTGCAGAGGCCAGTCCATAAACCATCCCGACCTTTCCTGGTTCTTACGAGGGGCAGTACCTCCTCCCTCCTCAAACTGGGACCTTGACCCTCAAGCCCTGGTAGTGGACAGAGTAGCCGAGACCCTTGGGGGCCCCTGGGACCTCAGGCCATGAGGACCAGGAGGGTAAAAAGGCTGTGCCACTTCTTCCCACTGCAGATTGAGGTGAAACTGTCTGTCAAGTTCACCAGCAGGGAGTTCAGCTTGAAGAGAATGCCTTCCCGAAAACAGACGGGGGTCTTCGGGGTCAAGATTGCTGTGGTCACCAAGTGAGTGAGTGGCGAGGGGCTTGGGCATGGGCACCTGGCCCTCCAGGTGTTTCCGTAGGAGAGCGGGCATGTGTGCAAGTCACTGCATGGGGAGAGAAGGCCTGGGGGACACTAAGTGTGCCTAGCTACTCCTGTGTTTACTGTGAAACCCTCTCAGGCACGTCCTTGCTGCCTTTCTTGGGCACAGTGGACCAGCTCCGCTACGTCTCCAGGAACTGCCTAAAAGCAGTTTTCTTTCTTTTTTCTTTTTTTTTTTTTTTTTGTAGAGACAGAGTCTCACTTTTTCACCCTTGGTAGGGTGCAGCGGAGTCGCTCCAGCAACCTCCAACTCCTGGGCTTA